CTGGATAACAGCAGACTGACTGCTCGTAAAATATACGACAGGTCTGGACCACTCGTGAATTTTGTTCGTATCTGAAAAAAATCGTAGAATACGAAAACATTGATGAATGCCACAAATTCTCCTAAATCACTCGTACGCACAACTTAAGAACAAATCTGTGCATACGAACGGTTCTTGCATGAGGCCCAATTGACTCTATCCAATGAAAAATATCACTAATAAAACTTGAATAGACATAAGACATTAACATATTTTTCAACACAGAACCACAGAGATGGATGCTACAGGCAACTTATGGAAAACATAAGGAACTAACTTGCAAAATGGCAGAATTATGAAGTCAGAATTTTATCTTAATTATTTTGGACAGATGTCAAATTCTGCGCTAAGAGCTACACTAAATGGAGTTCAGCAATTTGTAGGTCTATTTGAGAACCTTTCATGCATGCAGGTGTGACCTCTGCTTGCACAGGTTGTGGGGTGTTTGTGTTATTAAAATTGGAATGTATGTTTAGCAGAGAATCACATCCAAGACAGAAACACTCAGATCAGCAGAAAAAGTGCAAGATACAGCAAAAGAAGGGACAGCTTCTAGGTGCCAGTGGAGGAAAGGATGAATGTAGCTCTAAAAGAAGATAGAGAAATGAAGACAACAGGAGGCCAAACTCAGCTGCATTTTCTTACCACAGCAAGAAATACTCCTAATTGAACCTTTGAAAGGATCAAAGGTCTCATACTGGGACACAAACATACAATAGGATGTGTTTAAAACAGAGGTCTTCAACCCTGTTCTTCATGGTTTCGCTGTTTTCCTTCTTCAACACGGGCTTCTGCTGAACTTGATGACATTTTGAGTAGGTAATTATTAGAATGAGGAACAAGGTTGGAGAGCTCTGATGTAAAATTTGTAGCTACAGTTGAAAGTAACCGATTCGTCAAACTGTGTCCCAAATTACTAACCATATCACTTAAAATGTTTCTGTCAACTACAACCCCAATTACAATGAGGACGTTGTGTAAAACCTGAACAAAAACAAAATACAATGATTTGCCTATTCTTTTCAACATATGTTCCATTGAATCCATTATTTTAAATTTTAATGCATGCAACACGTTTCCTAAAAGCTGTTTTGGGTCAATAAAAGCATAAAAACACCTGTTGGAGCATACCACAGGTGAACAGGTAATTGGAAACAATCATGACATCGTCCACTTTGAACAGTAGACCTTTAGTTAAGGTTGATTGGGTCACTTTAATAATAGCAGATGCAGAAACAAGAATTATTGAGGCTGAAGGTAAATCAGAACGTGCTTCAATAAATTATAGTTTCAGGGTGTGCACACTTATGCAACATGCTGCATCCCTGTCGTTTCCTCACAACAGATTTTTAAAATGCACTTATAAAACAGTCTTCAGTATCAGCCATGAATCTTTGTCTTTCTCGTGTTTTCTGTAAAGTCTGTTAATCTAGACTTTTCTTTGCTCTCCTAGGATCAGAGTGACAGTTAATGGGGAGTTCCTGCATTACATCTACCCCTTCCAGTTCCTGGATTCACCTGAGTGGGACTCTCTCAGGCCCTCAGAGGAGGCTGCGTTTCAGGTTTTTCTTTCATGTTCTTTCAAACTGTAGATTCAAGATGGTTAGTTTGATAAACCTTCTCAGCACCTCTGCTGAATGTAACACCAGTTACTGGCCTATTAATAATCCCAAAAGCCAGAAGAAAGACCACTGGTGAACGTGCCTTCTCTTTTTGTGCCCCCTTTCTGTGGAACAATCTCCCCTCAGGACATCAGACAGGCTTGTTCTGTTGAGGTTTTTAAAGCTAAGCTAAAGACGCACCTGTTTAAACTATTTTACTTGTCTTTATTTTATCTTTTGTTTGTATCATCACTGCCTTGTCCTCTCCTGTGATTTATCTCTTGTTTTCTGAGTTTTTATTTGTTCTTGTGATCTCTTTTTTTACTTTGTGACTTTGCCTTTTTTTCATGTGTGATTTTATCGCTTGTCCAGCGCTTTGTTTGAAAGTGCTTTACAAATAAAGTTATTATTATTATTATTATTATTATTATTATTATTATTATTATTATTATTATTATTATTATTATTATTATTATTATTATTATTATTACTCACTGTTGAGTTGCGGTGAGTAGCTGCTGCCTTGAATTCTGAACTCTCCCTCTTTCCGATGGGGAATTGTCACTGGAGGGGTATTCCAGTTTAAATTTACGACTTTTAAGGAGGAAGTTCCCAATTCTGCAGCAAAAATAATTGACAAAAATGCAGTGAAATGGAGATTTTGGTCAGCAAATTTTGCTGCCTTTCGGATAATTTTGAACCCCGTGCACCTCCACCTAGTAGTGGGATGCTGTCATTTCACTGTAAAAATGATAAGCATAAATTATTGTAAACGTAGTTTATGGTCAATGCTGGCTTTGAGACAGCATGTGAATATTTTAAGACAACACAACTTTAAAGCTCTTGCGGACCATGTAAAATGTCATGGCGGGCCACATTTGACCTGCAGGCCTTGAGTTTCACACATCTGCTTTAAAATATTAAGACACTTTTAACAAAACGCAGGTGAAAGAGTGATAAATGATAAAAACATGGAGATTTATGACAATGGTCTGTGATGTCTGTAGCAATTAGAGACCTCTTTGCACTACTTAGGCCACTGCCTGGCTCTGAGATATCAAAGGAAAATAATTTTTGGGGACCCTCAAGCTGAGAAGCTCAGAACACTGAATGTTTCTAACCTCGTGTCCTTCATCCAAAGGATGCCAATGTTTGAAAATTCCCAAGACTCAATAAAGCTCAGTGTCTTTTTGGGGAGAGGGATGAGATCTTTATTACTCCCCGCTCACCAAAACCGTAAGACTTTGCATTCCTTCAAACAATGCTAGGTCTTTAAATTAATGAGAAAAAGGAGAGAATTATATCCACCGATGGTAAAATTTGCATTCCCTAGGTCTAATGCAAGTCCAGGATATCTAATTATTAATGTTAACATTCAGTTTATTGAATGTCATTATCAGAACAGCCTGACGTGCAGAACAAATGATTAACATCTTATTTTGGGTTTTCTTCCACAGGTGACCCTGCAGGCCGATGAACCGTGTCGGTACGTAGCATGGAGAAGGAAGAAACTCTACCTGCTTTTTGCTAAACACCGTTACATCGCCAGGATCTTTGCTCTGGTAGTACGTAATGACATTTCGGAGAAACTTTACTCTCTCAGTGAGAAGGCCTGCGATGGGGCAGGACACCGCTACGATCTCCGGTTACCAACCTTCTGTCACATGCCATGGACAGAAATAGAAAAAACAGATGGTCTACGGCAGATTCCTGCTCAGGGGGAGAGGTCTGCAGTGTTGGTTAGTTCAGTTTGTCAATAATACCTGATGGAAATAAATTTTAGCCCAGTAAAACAATGTTTTATTTCTCTTGGAAAGTGACAGTTAAAAAAATAGTCTTTGGTACATCTGCCTTTAGTGTGTGAAAGAGTAAAACTGCTTAAATAAATGTTTGTAAAGAATTGCTAAAATACGGTATAGACATATTTGTTGGCATTGGTATATTACACATGCCTTTAGCAGTGAAGGTGAAGGAGAGAGCTGTCTGATGAGCTCATAAAGAAAGTTATAGACCCATCCATCATCTACCCCTTATTCACATTTTGTTTGTGGGGGCAGCAGGTCCAGGAGGGAAACTCAGACATCCCTCTTCCCAGAAACATTCTCAAGCACTTCCTGGTGGATCCCAGGCCATTCCCTGGCCAGAGAGGGATACAAAATCCCTCCAGTGAGTGTCCTCTCATTGGGATGTGATTGGAAAATATCTGAAGGGAGGTATTCAGCAGGCACCCTAAAAAGGTCTCTACAAAGAAAACTGAGTTCAGATGGTTTTATATGGGATTTTGTTCTTTCAGTCATGGTCTATACCTCATTACCATAGTTGATGATTGGAAAGTTGATGGTCCAGTAACTCTGTCTGATCATCAGCGACTCAAACTCACCCCCGGGTGGTGATCAGTGACAGATCGGCTCCTCTCTTTACCTGAGTATCTAAGATTTTGTAGATCTGCAAGTCTGCTGATACTTTACCTTCAGATAAGAGAGACAGTTCCTCCCAATCAGCTTTTCACAAAGTGCATATTGACAAGAACCAAAGTTTCTGAGACTCCTGAAACAAAACCAAACTGAAGTATTATGGACAGTCTTATCAGAACTGGTTTTGGTATTAATAAAGTCAATAAATTCATCTGCATCCTTAAGTGTTCAATGAGGCAGAAGCTAAAATGTTGATCAATGATGTAAACACAATAGTCTGCCTCAGTAATTAAGAAAGTAAAACTATTCAGCGCTGTCACATGTAGCGTCTTTATCACACAGTATTTTATATTTCCTGAGTTTGTATGGGTCTCTGTGTTAGCAAAATTTCTCATGAACCACTGGAAATTTCAATGAAACTCTTGAAAAGTAATCGTTGGGTGTACTTCTACAGCTCATTAACTTCTGCAGTCAACACAATTAGCATAAATAAATAAATAAATAAATAAATAAACAAATAAATAAATAAATAAATAAAATTGAGTGTCAAGACCTGCAGTGTGAACCCAACTTGTTTCCATGTTGAGAAATGATTGAGTTGCAGCAGTCTTGGGAATTTTCAGTTGAGTGTTTACAATCAGCGTGCTAAGCTTTTCTTTCATTTTTTTTTAAATCCCAGCCTATTTTTGTGCACATAGCTTGTAAAACTGGATTCTATTTCATGCACAATATATTGTAGTCCAATTTTGCCCACATTTGTTCTTTAATGAATTAGTGTACATTTTAGAAATGAAGATTATCAGATCTGGACCAGTTTTTAATATATATATTTTTTAGACTTGAACATGTTTTCTGTCGGTGGACTGTTCCTTGCATGTATCAAAATACAGTTCTAGTGTTCTGAGATGGCTTGGTAACCCGCAACAACTTTGTGACCATTTTCAGGAAAAAAATTGTCACACATTTGTTTAACATGTTCAAAACTCAAGATGCAAAACATTGATCCTCCAAGAAAACTGAGAATCTTTGAGAAAATGTTGGGACATTTTGGAGACTTTCTTGTGAACTTCGTCCATCAAATAGTCTCCAACAGTCACAGCCCAGTAAGGCACCACCCAAAAGGTTAAAACTTAAGATGAACAAAACTGGACCTCCAACTATTAGCTCTTATTTATCTGATATGAACAAATATGGAAAACGATTGCTGAAGGTGGCAGTAAACAGTAAAATGTAGAATATTGTCAGATTTGATTGGTGCCTTGTGTCAGTGTAATGTGTTGTTTTTGTACTCTGCAAATAAATGATTGGAAAGATGACTCTTTAGTGTCTCTATATTATAAAATTACTTCTAGCCAGAGAGAAACAGAACCATATGCTCCAAGCTGTCAATACTTTTCTATTATCCTCTTGATTTTAATTCACATATTTATGGTCAGTCAGATTTTTATTTATTTATTCTTTGTTGTGGGAATCATATTGATTGTTTTTGCGCATTTTGCTGAGAGATTTCACTGAATTAGCTCACTGTCCAAGAAAATCAACCAATGGGTTGTCGCAGTCGACAAAAATTGTTGATCGTTACCTTTCTAAAATTCTTCTGATTTGGGACGCTGAGGTGAGGAAACTGATCAAGCTTCAATATTAGTTTGTCTTTCTGCTTCTGCTTTGCACAGCCCACACCCAGGGTTATACTCTGTTTATTGTCAGGCAGCTTTCAACTTTCAAACCTTACTGTCTAAGCATTTGATTAGATATAACACCTTCACTTAAAATGCTAGTTAAACATTTTCTGTCATCAAACAGAAATTCTTTTAACTTTTCTCTCGTTTGTATTAATACAGTCCTCCTTCCCTCATGTCAATATATTTCAACATCACACACATCAATAAATCATCTTATTAATCAACAATAAATCAACAGTTTCAGGATAACATGTTGATTATTACATCTGATTATTACATTTTATCATCAGTTCTACTCATTTAACAACTTACATTGTTTTGAACATTTATTAAAACAATCAGTCAACTCAGAAGCCTTTTCCTGGGATTTTTTTCCACTCAAGCATTACCAGTCTTTTCCTCAACACCCAAGGAGAGTTCTCACTTGTCATCAGCCTAAAATGACAAGAAAATCAAATGTCTCATCAACAACGATCACAGAATACTTCAAGCTGTTTATACAAAACGAGACAACACAGTCTTAAAAACGAATGTATGTAAATGTTTGGATCAGGGTCATTTGGGTGTTTTCTGTTTTCAATATGATGTTAAAAAAATGGAAACACGAGTGTTTGATAATAAATGAATTCGCCCAACCAATAACCATGAGCGGAAAATATGTTTTTGTGTTATCATTCATATTCTCTGAAAATTTGCACCCAAAATACTCACAAATTCTGCCTGGGTCTGTAAACTTTTCATCACAACTGTATGTAACAGTTAATGAGGTCCAGCACCTTTATTTACTTTAAGTGTATTTTTCAGCTATTAAAGAATTGTAGTTAGTGGGAGAAGGAGCAGAAAATGATTTTTTCACAATAAAAGTCCCAGCTTCATTCTTTTACAACCTGTGGTGTTTATTATACAGCATAAGGCCCACCCTGACCACAGCACTGTCTCCCTCTGTCGGAGCTTCTGCTCCACTTTGGTTGCCCACTTTAGTCTCTCTCTGTCAGCTGTGTGGAATGTGCGACACACATTGTGCAGACCCCCAGGAAAAGGTCCAGCCTGCGGTCACCAGAACCTCCAACTTGTTTCCTGAGAGTTGCCTCTTTTTCTCCCCGTTCTTCACACAGTCAGAGGCTGAAACTAATCGGTAAGAAGCACAAATCTCTTTTTTCTTTCTTTTTTTTGTTATTGCTTAGAGAAGCTGTGAGATTTGTCTGTCTGTCGGTGCTGGACTGCCTTTAAATCTATTTTTACATGGGAACCTTGGCAGCAGCAGCAGGAGGAGGAGTGTGGGACAGAAAACAGCAGGCTGCAGCTGGACACTTTACTGCTCTAGTTCTCTCCAACATTTACTGAATCTTCTCCGCACAACTATGAGATGTATTTCCATAGCTTACAAATGAATTAACAAATAATCAAGAGCACAAAACTGTATGAATTCAAGCACACACACAAGACAAAAACCTTAAGGTTTTATGTAAAAATTCTTTGGTTTTTCAATCTGGAGTTTTGCTGCTGCGTTGTAAAACAAATAATAATCCATGTTGTTGTCATCAAAGAGAAAACCTTCACATTTTGCAGTTTATAACAGCCATCACATGGCTTTACACAGAACATACAGGCACCAGGGTTAGAGAGCCTTCTTGGCCCCTGGCACTAATAATTTGATAATGCATAAAAACTGCAACATTGATTATTTACGTTAACTTGAAGGTTTCTTGTCACACAGAGAAGAGTTGCTCTTAGCTTTAATGTAAAATCTAAAGTCTCAGTAGCATACAACGGGTAAAATAAGTATTGAACACGTCAACATTTTTCTCAGTAAATGTATTACTAGAGGTGCTAATGACATGAAATTTTCACCAGATGTCGGTAACAACCCAAGTGATCCATACATACAAAGAAATCAAACCATAAATGTCCAGAAATGAAGTTATTTGTAATAATGTGGAATGGCACAGGGAAAAAGTATTGAACACACTTACTGAAGTTTATCTAATACTTTGTACAAAAGCCTTTGTTGTCAATGACAGCTTCAAGACGTCTCCTGTATGGAGAAACTAGTGGCATGCATTGCTCAGGTGTGATTTTGGCCCATTCTTCCACACAAACAGTCTTCAAATCTTGAAGGTTTCGTGGACCTCTTCTATGAACTCTGATCTTTAGTTCTTTCCATAGATTTTCTGTTGGATTCAGGTCAGGTGATTGGCTGGGCCATTCCAGCAGCTTTAGTTTCTTTCTCTGAAACCAACTGAGAGTTTCCTTGACTTTGTGTTTGGGCTCATTGTCTTGCTGAAATGTCCAGCCACGTTTCATCTTCATCATCCTGGTAGATGGAAGCAGATTTTTATCAAGAATGTCTCTGTACATTTTTCCATTCATCCTTCCTTCAATTATTTGAAGTTTGCCAGTACCATATGCTGAAAAACAGCCCCACACCATGATGTTCCCACCTCCAAACTTCACTGTTGGAATGGTGTTTTTTGGCTGATGTGCAGTGCCATTTGACCTCCAAACATGATGTGTATTCTGGCATCCAAACAGTTCAATGTTGGTCTCATCTGACCAGATTATATTCTCCCAGTATTACACAGGCTTGTTTAAATGTTGTGCAGCAAACTTTAAAGGAGCTTCAACATGCTGTTTCTTCAGCAGTGGAGTCTTGCGTGGTGAGCGTGCATACAGGCCATGGTGGTTCAGTGCATTACTTATTGTTTTCTTTGAAACAAWCGTACCTGCTAATTCCAGGTCTTTCTGAAGCTCTCCACAAGTGGTCCTTGGCTCGTGGACAACTCTTCTGATAATTCTTTTCACTCCTCTGTCAGAAATCTTGTGAGGACCACCTGGTCGTGGTCGGTTTATGGTGAAATAATGRTCTTTCCACTTCTGAATTATGGCCCCAACAGTGCTCACTGGAACCTTCAGAAGTTTAGACATTCTTCTGTAACCGATGCCATCATTATGCTTTGCAACAATAAGGTTGTGAAGGTCTTGAGAGAGCTCTTTACTTTTACCCATCATCAGATGGTTCTTGTGTGGTACCTGACCATCATTTGGGACTGAACCAGCTGATATTAACTTGCACTGACAAGGGGCAGGCTTGCTTTCTAATTACTGAGAGAGTTCAGCTGGTGTCTTGGCTTTCCATGCCTTTTTACACCTCCCTTTCTTCATGTGTTCAATACTTTTTCCCTGTGCCATTCCACGTTATTACAAATAACTTCATTTCTGGACATTTATGGTTTGATTTCTTTGTATGTATGGATCACTTGGGTTGTTTCCGACATCTGGTGAAAATTTCATGTCATTAGCACCTCTAGTAATATATTTACTGAGAAAAATGGTGACGTGTTCAATACTTATTTTACCTGCTGTATATATTAGTGGGGCAGGAACTCATTTCCTAAATCAATACCCACACAGATTTTACAGTTTGTCTCAGTTTCTATGAAAATGTGAATATGTTGCTCATTATTTGTTTTATTGCTCTATAATAATTTTTTTGTACAAATGTGTCACTTTATTTTCCTTCGTCTCTTAGGTCGAGGTTGTCAGGTCTAGTAATTAGAGACACAGACTCCACCTGCACCCAAAACAAAAACGTTTTCAGTTTTAACTGTAAAATAAAAGAGACTGCAAATCTGCAGCCTCAGGATTCCAAGACTGCAGCTCCATTGTTTAAATAAGATCCACCTGTGTCCACACATAAACTTTACATTTAAAAGTTAAGTTATATTTTAAGTAAAGTTAATGTAAAGTAAATGTGTTATGTTTACTCAGTTCAGTTGAGTGGAACCAATTGACATAATTTTTTAAAATTAAATCCACTACATCCGATTTTTGAGTGTAGATATGGACAAATGGGGCTACCATGTTAGAGAAAATGTCCTGCTGTACATCTCTCCTCTGTATTTTGTTTATGTCCGGTCTGTCTGCTCCAAGCTGCTCGCTTGTAATTTATCATCTAATTTATTTTTACAAATGGATTTTTAAACCGAACGTCACTGTTGGACACAGCAGGTTTTGCTGCAGCTATTCCTGCATGAAATAAAATCACAGGAGGTCCAGAGTTAGTGGTGGTCACATCAATGAGCTAAAACCAGCAGAGTATGGCTGCAGGGTGGAAAATTGTGTACACCAATAACATTCTATTGCTGCCTGCAGTTTTGATCGCAGGAGGATATGATAAAGTCACTGACGACTGTGGGTGGTGAACTGTAGCCCCCCTCCCCCCAGCATGAGAATTAATTATTTAAAAACATTTAAAATTCTATTTGAACTTGTCAAAATAGTAGAGAACACAGAACAAAACAAAACACAGCCCACTAACCAATAGTCATGCGAATGAAGTTTTTAGGTGCCGCTGCACCCCACTTGCCCTTATGGGCCAACTGCGCTTGTCTGAAGCACAGAAAAACTACAGACCTCCCCTCTGAAATTCCGAGAACAGCTGCTTTTTCACTGTTTACTTTTTAATGAACTGTTTCTCTTTAAACACGAGAGAAATCTGTTACTTAAAAGAATTATTGTTGAAATATTTTATTCTGAAAAAGGGGCAGATAAAAGGTTTTTTCTTCATTCTGCTACCTTTCATTTTATTTTATTTGTATTTTTTGTTGTATGTGAATTTGTTTTATGTTTATTGAAATGAGCTAATTTTGATCATGAACTGAAACATGAACAGAAATGTCCTCCCTGTGCACTGCAAAAAATGTCTATATAACCATGATAAAAAACCTTATATCCAGCCAAAAAGTCTTTTTGATCTTGTTTCGAGACTGAGTTTTTAA